TGCCGCAGGTTCTGCGCAGATGTTTTGTTTCAACTTCAACTTGATCGACTCACCCACCCTCACAGAAGCCTTGGCTGGGCAGGTTGAGGGTCGTCCACCCATACCCTATAAACAAGCCACCCCTCAACAGATAAAAGCTTTAGGGTCGATGACTTGTGGAGTCTATAACCCAGGTCTGGGGTCAAAGGTTTGGATAAGCAATTGCGCATCCTTGGGTCTTGGCTGGAAGGAATTGAAATTATTCTCGCTGCCGTGATTTCAGAACGGTTCAGAATGACTTAAGGCTTTGACTTACCGCGTTATTCCAGTCTCCACAAGATTCCTTGGAAGCGATCTTTGTTTGTTAGAAACCCTCAAGCCATTTCCCAGTTTTAGGCTTGAGGCTTCGACTTTGGGCGCGGTTCTGGGTTGCCTTGAGCCTCACTCTAGGGCTGTACGGCTCCAGTTACCCACATAATGCGGTTGCTGGGGTACATCATATAGTTAGTAACCTACTGCTTACTTAGGTAGCTGGAGCCCTAGGGATAGGCATAAAGTATAGGGTTGGATCGAAGGTTTGTGCGAACCGCACGGCGCCAACTGACTACAGAGGCAGGCACGCAGTTGCAGACCTACGAGCAGTATGGATGGACAAAACTTTGCAGAGCTTGGTGCCATCGGTTCGGACTTCGACGCAAAAGAAATCCACAAGTCGGCTCATGGAATCCAAATCTCGCCATGCAGAAACTAGCACAGCGACCGTAGCAGTTGGAACGAAGTGTCGGGGTATATGACAGTATAGTGAGAACTACCCCGCGGATCTTCTTACCAGAGACTAAGGCCACCAGCCACCTTGGCCTCTTCCCTCCGAGAACTCCTCTGGCTCCACGTGCCTAGATTTATCTGCTTGAATTGGGCCTTAGAGTGAGTATCTCTATATATGTATACATACATACATACATACATACATACATACATACATACATACATACATACTCACACATATATATATATGAGAGAGAGAGAGAGAGAGTTAGGCAACCCCTGTAATAAGTACAAACCATAAAATGGGCACCTGATCCTCAGGATTTCGGTCCTTGAGGATGAAGACTTTGTCCACGCTCTTTCCATGCTGGCACGCAGGGGGAGCACCACCCACCAAAGTCCCAGTTCAGTGCTTTGGCGCTCACACTCGGACGCATCCAGGAAGGGTGAACTGGGGGTTTGGGGGTTAGGGGACAAAACTCTGTCTTCGGGTTGCGGGTTCCTTGTGGGGTTTCGGCTCTGGTTCGGCTTGGTGTCGGAATCTCACAACCCCCGCCCCCCCCCCGCCCCCCTGCCCAACAAGTAAGAAGACGAAGTTCCATCGAGGCATGGTCAATGAACACGACCCTAACACCCGAACCCCTGGATTGATCAGTAACTCACAACTCGCAAGGCACTGAAAAGGCATCGAGAGTTTGTAGCTATAGGTGTGTTGAAAAACCATCTTCACTGCGGAAGCAGAGTCCTACTTGTTTGGGGGTCTACGGATTGGACCCGTGATGCAGAACGCCACGGTTTAGTGTTTAGGACTCTGGGTTTAGGTTTCTGAATCCACTACCTGAACACGACACATACCTCTTCTGGGGTATCATATATTGAAGGCCTAAACAAACTCTAAACTCTCGCTCGGTTATGTTTGGGCTAGCGGCTAGCATTCGGTCCTTGGCCTAGTCCTGAAACATCACTACCAGGAACCTCCCTGTACCCTTACACTGGAGGGTGAAGGAGGGTCTAGGTAGGGCTGGGGGTTTAAGTTCAAGTTGAAGGATTAGGACGCCTCGTTCACCTTCCTGGAGTACTGGAAGTCGTACGTCACATGGTGCTCATCCTGGTACAAACACATGGCTATTGCTGCTCTTCGTGTTCGTGCCGGGTAGAGTCGAGGGAAAACTCGGAAGCCTTGACAGAAAACACGAAGCCGCATAAGGTCTGGATCATGCTTTAAAGCTGAAAAGCCTACAGCGACGCTGCGACAGGTTTCCGAACGATGTCCCACTCAGGCTTGAACTGCACAATGCCAACGATTTGAGGAGACATGGTTTCGAGTGCAAGGGTGCGGGTCGAGTGGTGCATTGTGAACTCACATATGAGCTCCTCCTTGTTGACACGATGGATTCGCCCATGCTGCCATTCGCCACGGTCCAGCTTGGCCCACACCGGCATGTCCTGCCTTGGTTGAGAACATAGCCAACCTAACTGATTGCCAAATGTCTGTCTCATTGCAAGCAGCCCAGTGAACTTGCCTACTACGCAAGTGCCTACACTCCCGGTGCATCCTAAACCCTAAAACCCTAAACCCTAAGACCGCCCCCAGTTCTTCAAACCCTAGACCTAAAGCCACAAACAGGCACCAGGGAACCGAAGCTCTTCGGCGAAGTCCTGAGCTCCAGGAAATGCTTTAGGGTCGTCTTATAGGGTCCCCGGCAGAAAAAAAAGCAGGCTCCAAGTGATATATTTGGCAAGTCTTCACGGGATTCTGTATGTTGCTTTACGAGCCTTTGAGAAAAATTCCACCAGGGCCTTATTAATTCCAGGCTTGGTTGGTTTTGGTGGCTTAGAGACTGGCCATGGGGGTTCAGGATGCAGGTGTCAGGTTAAGGGCTAAGGGGTGAAGTCCAGCGTTTAACGACTAAGTAGGTCATGTCAAGGGTTGGAGTCGGTTACAGAATTCAGGACTACCTTAACCTACCAAGACCTATTGTGTTAGGCTTCATATGGTAAGCTACCAAGGGTAGTGGTAGTTTTAGGGTAGGGATTCGGGAATGGAGGCTCAAGCGCTTGGAAATACGTTTCGTGGTGGCGGCCTATGGTTCAGGGTTAGCAATGGCAATTTCGGGTTGAAGGTTTCGACTCGCACTCCCACGCGGAAGGTGCGAGTTAGGGTGTGGGGATCCGAATCTATGGCTTGCCCTTGAGATCCCTTGAGTCCAAATCTTAAAGGCCGTCGAACTTGAATTGCCTCCACCTCCCTGGAGGCCTCTGAACCGCAAGCAAATGGTTCCTGAGCAGTTGCCTCTGCCATGGACGTATGTTTTGAGACACGGCTGACAGCAAGCTCACCAAGCCAAAACACACTCTTGCGATGGTCGTATGCATCGTCTCGTTAAGTATCCTTACTACGATTCGATGAAGTACGATTGAAACGAGGGTCTCAACCAAACCAAGCAAATCCTCACAGTTTGCACACAAATACAGAGGTCTGAACAACTGTTTAACAGGGATAGTACAATCATCGGCAATATAGTTATCCAGACAATAGTAGCAGTCTCACAATACTGATAGTCATAACAGTAATAAGAAGAATTGGTAAGTAATACTAGTACTAGTAACAATAAGAAAAGAATAAAAACACCCTGACATGCCTTAGGCACATCTACTATAATATATCCCCAAGCCCTACTCCAATTGACATTAGGTCCCCTACCTACCTGCGACCTCGACCCGCCACTTCTGCTAGCAAGGGTCTCTGATGACCTCTCGGTATGCATCCGTGTCGCCCACCTGACCAGGCATGAGTCAGGGTGGCAGGCGCCAAAATCTTGCGTGTTTGCATGTATCTATATATATATATGCATACATA